CAGACAATGGGGGACATTTCTGAGTAGCCCTTGCTCACTGGTTTAATTATTTAAACGTATTTAATAATTTAAACAAAGTAAAATAGTTAACAGTGTGAGTAAAATGCTATACTTTTATTTCAGGTTTCCCACAATTTGCAATTAACTAAGATAGTGCATGTCTGTGTCCCCAGCTTGTGAATGTGACCCTGACGGGACCGCATCGGGTGGCATTTGTGTGAGCCACTCTGATCCTGCCATGGCGTCTGTGGCCGGCCAGTGCCTGTGTAAGGAGAACGTGGAAGGAGCCAAGTGCAACCAGTGCAAGCCTGGTCACTACGGACTGAGCGCCAACGACCCCCTGGGCTGTCAGCGTAAGTCAACGGCAGCTGGGTCTCCAACCTGGACGCGTTTTAAAGCTTGGGGCTGTCTCTATCAGCCCTAAAATTCAGTCATTGTAAATACTGAGTCCTGCCAGCTTCTGGGTTTTTAAAAGTGATATAAACCTCTGGCAAATTTTAGTCAGTGGAGAATTTTTCTCAGTGGTTTGCCGAGTTTATCATAAAGTACCAGCAGGGGGCGCTCACACTTATCGCCGCAGGCGCAAACGGAAAGAATGCCAAAAAAAATTAATGCCAAGTTGCGAAACCTCTAGAAAAATGGCCTCCGATAGGACTCCCCTATACAAATTCGTTAAGTTACATTCTTCATTTTTGCATAGATTTATGACTTCTTAGGCAATTTCCAAGTCGTGGTTTCTTTCTTTTTATTTCTTAAATTGCTTTCACCCCTTTCTTCTCACACTCCTCCTAGTACTGGTCCTATGTTCTCTGACAAAGAGAAGAAAAACATTAAAGAACCAAGGGAGGAGTTGTGGGGAAACAGAAAGAACCTCAGATTTTCTGGGGCTAAATGAGGAGACCTTTGGCTCTGGCATCATAGAAGTTTAGAGCTGCCTGGGGTCTCATAGAGCTACAGATTCTTCAGGAAATCTGGGTAAATAATTCCCCTTTGGTCGCAGTGTCATGCTGTATATTTTTGCCCATATAAGGAACTGAGTATCTGCATGTTTAGAGGACAGCACGCTGAATCCTTCTGTAATAAAATGCTCTGCTTGAGTTTGACGGCAAAATTAAATTTCAGGATAATGAATGATATAGTCAAGCTAATTTCCATCACACCTTTCAACACTTCAGGCATTTCTCCCAGTTCACTGACTAACCTGATACCCTCTGAGAATAAGCCAAATATTGTTTTTGTTTTGTTTTTCTTTTGTAACAGCTGTAGTGAGATATAGTTCACATACCATACAGTTCACCCTTTAAAGTGTACAATTAAATGATTTTTAGTATATTCAGAGCTGTGTAACCATCACTACACTCAATTTTAGAACAATTTTTGTCAACCAGAAAAGAAACCTCATACCCTACTTCTGGCTGTATACCCATAAGATTGAAAGTAGGGTCTTGAGGAGATATTTGTACGCCCATGTTCATTGCAGCATTATTCACAACAGTCAAAAAGTAGAAGCAACTCAAGTGTCCATCCATGGATGAATGAATAAACAAAATGTGGTATGTACATACAATGGAGTATTATTCAACCTTAAAAAAGAAGGAAATTCTGACACGTGCTACAACATGAGTGAACTTTGAAAACATTATGGTAAGTGAGATAAGCCAGACACAAAAGGACAAATATTGTCTGATTCCACTTACATGAAGTACCTAGAGTAGTCAAATCCATAGCAACAGAAAGTAGAATGGCGGTTGTCAAGGGCTGGGGGAGGGAGGAATGGGGAGAGACGTTGTTTAATGGGTATAGAGTTTCAGTTTCACAGGATAAGAAGAGTTCTGGAGATTGGTTGTACAACAACATGAGTGTACTTACTACTGTTGAACTGTATACTTAAAAATTTTATATGTGTATTTTACCATAAAAAAGAAAAAAAGAAAAAGAAGCCCCACACCCTTTAGCTTCCATCTCCCTATCCTTGCATTCCTCCAGCCCTAGGCAAGCACTAATCTACTTTCTGTTTCTGTAGATTTGCCTATTGTAGATGTCTCATACAAATGGCATCATATAATATGTGGTCTTTTGTGATGGCTTCTTTCACTTAGCATAATATTTTCAAGTTTCATCCATAGTGTAGCAGGTATTAGTACTTCATTTCTTTTTATGGCTAAATAATATTCCTTTGTATGGACATACCACATTTTATTTATCCATTCATCAGTTGGTGAACATCTGGGTTGTTTCCATGAACATTGGTTTTTCCTGCAGAGAAAATGTATATCTTGCTCTGATTGCATAATTTCTCAGCCTTCACAACATAAGCAGAACTCAGATATGTCTACGGGTGGAAGAAAAAGAGGAGGGAGAGAATGAAAAGAAAAAGTAACAAGGCAGTAAGAAAGAGAGAGAAAGGAGAGAGAAATAATAGGTGCATCTGCCAGAGAAGAAGCATCAATAGTAGCCTTGCCCCTAGCTGCCCGACCCGGCGAGCATCACTCAGGATAACTTCTCCGGGCATTCCAGCTGTCATGACTTCCTCCACTTCCTCGTCTCCTCCTAATGCCATCCAGTAGAGCTACTTGAGGGCTCTGGGAGTGTCTGGTGTTGGATTTCCTATGTGGGGTTGCATGTAGTACAATAATCATGCAGCCAGGCAGACAGCAAACTTGGCAGGGCAGCTGCTCTGTATTCTTGTGGCCACACGTTTTGCTCAGTGTGAGCTCTTAAGGACATTTACAAGAGTGGAGAAATAAAGATGAGCGTGGTTGCGTATGCTCTGTTTCAGCCTGTGACTGTCACCCACTCAGGAGTCTGCCACTCTCTACCTGCGATGTGGATACAGGCCAATGCTTGTGCCAGCCGTTTGCCACCGGACCACACTGTGAAGAGTGTGCTGTACGTATTTGCCCGTGATTTCTCTTTTATGTAGCGATGCAGATTTCTCCTGCCATTGCGGAGAAGAGACTTGGGCTTGTTAATTTCTTTCCTCATGCTATTGTATTTCCATACTCCTGTGGTAAAAGTATTTACACTACAGAAATCAGCAAACACTGTAAATCAGCCCCCACCCTCCTGCAGAGAGCTGGTTGTTAAACATTTACCGGCACACCGCTGGATTGGACTGAACCGACCCAGGCACCCATGTCAACAGTTTTATCTGTACTCCTGGACATGCCATGCACTAGAATATGCAAACATTTATTTGCCCCCTTTTTTTGCCCACCAGAAAGTGGGGCCTTTTCCTCTGTCTCTTGCACACAGTCCTGTTACCATCCTACTACTCATTGCCTAAAAATATTTTGAACAAGCTCATTAAAAAAAAAACAACTTAGGTTTAAATGTGTTGTAGATTCCTGTGGGAAATAAACTCTCAGATTTTTCACAGACTCCACTAAACATATGAGCATGTGTGCTGAAAATTAGTAAAATGAAACATTTTTACTCCATAAAAAATGTGTCAGGCAGTTAGGAAGTTCAAATCCAACTCGTTTCTTTGTCCTCCAATCTTGGCAGCCCACCACAACATTTTAGAAAGAAAAAACAAAAGCTTAACCTAATAAAAGAACAGTGACCTTGATGTGTCTGAAGAAATGTCACTGATAAATAAGAAACATATGCCTATTAGGACATAGTTTTGTGCTAATATTTTAAGTCATTTTACTGAAAACATATGAGGATGGGGCAGAGGAGGTGGGGAAAGAAAGCAAAGGAGTAAATATGAAGAAGGTACTGTGTGTGAGCCAGGCAGGTAATCTAGAAGTTTTACGTAGGAAGGTGAGGCACGCCAAGCTCGATGACCATGTGTGGGCAACACGAAGGGTGCAGAGCTGCTTAAGAGGATCAGCGAAGATACCACGTCAGATAATTCCAGACAAACCTCAGATTCAGGCTGACTTTCTTCGTTGGCAGATTAACTGCCACTGTGCAGTTCAGTCCATTGTTTGCAGGGGGGAAATAACTGGGCAGGGGCCACCCCATGGGGGACTTGTCCACCATGGCTGAGCCCATGCATCTGACAGGTGCCCCACATCCACAGCTATCTGATGGTGCCCTGGACCTGTGCTGAGGTGGCTGATATGACAGCATATCCTACCCTCACTCGCAACCACATCCTGAGTGAAGCAGTTCATTTCACATTGTTTTCACATAAACTGAAGTTTGGTGTTGGGAAAAATATCACAAGTCCTTTGCTGCATTTTGTAACAAACTATGTCAACTTTTAAATGTTTAAAAAAATCTTTTGGAGTAACGTCAGGCATAAAATTTTACAAGATAACAACAACAAAAAATACGGATACTTAACAAACCTGTTTCAAATAAGAGTTCCATGCCTCTTGAGACCTTAATTTTATCTGAGCATATTAAGTTGCGATTTGAGGGGGAAGTATTTTTCTGAGCATTTTATAGTAAATGTTATCAGATTTAAGAAATAGCTGTTTGCGTCTCACCAGCTGTTTATATTGACTCAAGATCAAGATGTTGCAATGATGAAAAAAGTCTTGGAGAACAGAGTTAACTCTCATGCAGAGAGAGTTTGTTATGCCAAAACAACTTATTTATAAATAAACAATTCTACTAAACTGTGATATTCAGAGAAGATCGAAAAATCAGCTTGATTGATTTTTTTTTTTACCACAAAACATTGTGTTGTGCAAATAAAAATCCCTTGGGATTTTGTGGTGAGGAAATCTACCGGTTTTACAAAAGCAGTTACAAATAGGCAAGCTGAAGATCTTCTGCTCAGACTGGCCTTAAACAACCCAGCTTGAGGGTTGTAAATTGGTGCTGTCAGAGGAACTGTGTGGTTTCCACTGAGTTTACACTCAAAGCAATACACAGACAGCAGTCTTGTCCCCTTCATTTCAAGTCCTGGGAATGTGTGTCCTCAAAGATTGTTACCAAGTACACAGGCAAGAAAGGCTACTGTGTGATTGTTCAGGCTCTGTGGTGACATGATGTGCGTCAAGTACTTGTAGTGATTTTAATACTACACTTGAGAGCAGCAAATATCTTCATACCTGGAATCAGCTGAGCGCTTTCTCTTTGTAGGTTGGATACTGGGGACTGGAAAATCATCTCCATGGGTGTTCTCCCTGTGACTGTGATATTGGAGGTGCTTATTCTAACGTGTAAGTCAGTCAAACGCACAACAAAGTGCTGTGGCGATATTCTTCACTCACATTTCCACACAAAAGTACATTTTATTCTGATATGCTCATAGTCACAGGTGAAGGATTTTATTCCGTGACAGGCAAAGGGCATTGAAAAACGACAATCTTGAGACATTCAAAGCAGCCCCACTGATTTATTTTACTTCAAATATTTCCAAGGGTGAGACAAACAGCTCTACGCTTGGGTATCCCACGAGGTGGTGGGATAGATGCCTGGAAACCTGTGACTGGACCTGCCCACAACAGCAACTTTTTGCCACCCTGGAAAGAGAGGTCCTATACTCTCCTTTTCCCAGTTTTTGGAGCAGAATCAGAGAGCCTCTGAGGAAAGAAGTGGCGCCCTGGGTTTCCTGGATCTAGACTTGCTTTTCAAGACTAGTCATGTAGAGGTCATAGCCTCTCAACATCCTCCCCAGGATGATTGATTGATGGATTCAAATGGGTCTAAAGTCAGGGCATTTAGCCCAGCACCCCCACGCCTTCATTTTACACTAGCCTCCTCTACAATTTTTCATGATGGATTTGCTTTCCTCAGGTTCTCACCCAAGGATGGGCAGTGTGAATGCTGCCCGCACATCACTGGCCGCAGCTGCACGGAGCCAGCCCCTGGCTACTTCTTTGCTCCTTTGAATTTCTATCTCTATGAGGCAGAGGAAGCCATGCCACTCCAAGGACTTGCGCCTTTGGTTCGTATTTCATTTACTCCCCTGGCAGACTTAATTTGATGGAGTGTCAGTAAATAGATACAGCACACCCTTGAGATCATGCGTAAAGTACCTGGGAAAGAATGGGGTTTTGCCCACAAACGCAGATGAGAGTAGAGTTTATTATATCATGGAACTGTAGATTATATAAATTCTTGAGGGCAGAGTGTGCATTTTATGTGTCTTTGTATCCCGGTTCTAGCACACAGCCTAGCACATAAGTGGGAATTGGATTAAGTTATGATGAAATAGACTTTACTTTTGTTCTTTCAATGCACCCGTCAGATAGAATGTGCTTATTGAGCACCTACTTGTCTGTGTCCCCCATGATACTATAAACCATGAGACGAAGGGATGATGTGCATCCCATTCACCATTGTTGCTCTAGTGCCTGGCACGGTGCCTGACACAGAGTAGGAACTTCATAGATCTCTGCTAATGGATGAATGAATAAGGTACATAAAAGGAGTATAAGATGTACTCTCTGTCCTGAAGTTGATTTCGAATTAGCAGTTCTCATGGAACTCAGTGATGTTCACAGGAGTGTGTGATTGCAAAGGTCACTTGGCTCTCTACTTCATTTCCTACAAGTCACAGTCCTGTGGGATATTTTCCCTAAAAATATTTTTCTAAAACTCTTGTTAGAGAAGCAGACACATACATGTGAAACGATTAGAGAAAGTGCAAGTTAGACTCCCATAACATTCTCAAGCATGTAACTCCTGCCAAAGACAGGGATATACAAAGGAAAAGGTAATGTGAGGTGAAAGTCTTCAAGGAGAGAAAGCATGTGAAAGCTGATACTCAAGACAGGATTTGGATAGAAGCAGGGGAACTCTTCCAGGTTCCAGTGACTAAGTTGTTTCCTGAGGTCTCTTCCTTATCTGGACACTGTTGGTGGGAAGGGATGAAAATGCCTCTTAGGAGGCTTGGAATTTGCTCCTTTGCTGACTGGAATTGGGACAAGAGCAGGAGGCTTTCACTGTCTCTGCTGTGGTTCCTACTATGGTGAGTGGAATCAAAATGAAACAATCCTATGTCTGGATTCTTCATGGTTTTTAACATTGCATCTTTATGATAGTGACTGAAAAAAACTTTCAGAAAGGAATATTGGTATTTGTGTTTAGGCTGTAACTATTGTGAAATAGTAGAAAATATATATATTGGTCTCTGCCCCTGGTTCCTGACACGGAGCTCCTAAACCCTTGTAATTTCCTAAGTGATAAGAGCACTAGAAACATCTTTTGTTCTAATATTTGGTCTTGGACCCCGGGTTCTTGACACAGAGCTCCTAAATCCTTTGGAATTTCCTGGGTGATAGGAGTGTCATTTGTTCTAATGAGGTGACTCTGGGTGGGCTCCTGAATAGCTTCAGGATGGGGGCTGGTCACCAGAAAGACCAAGCCATGCCTAGAAGCTTGAAACTTTCAGCCCCACCCCCACCCTCCAACCCCCCAATCCTCCAGGAAGGAGAGAGGGCTGGAGATTGAGATAATGATCCATCATGCCTATGTGATGAAGCCTCCATAAAAATCCCAAAAGTACTGGATTCAGATAGCTTCCAAGTTGGTGAACACATCCATGTCCTGGGAGAGTGGTGCACCTCAACTCCATAGGCCAGAAGCTCCTGTGTCTGGGATCCTTCCAGTCCTCACTCTTTGTATCTCTTCATCTGACTGTTTATCCTTCATTATATCCTTTATTATTTGATAAACTAGTAAACATAAATAAATATTTCCCTGAGTTCTGTGAGCCATTATCCCAAATTATCAAACCCAAGGAAGGGGTCATGGGAGCTGTTTGGTCAGAAATACAGGTAATAACCTGGATTTTCTATTGGCATCTGAAGGGGGAGCAGTCTTGTGGGACTGAGCCCTTAACCTATGGGATCTGACACTAACTCCAGATAGATAGCGTCAGAACTGAATTAAGTTGTAGGACACCCAACTGGTGTCAGAGACTTGTTTGGTGTAGGAATAAACCCACACGTCTGGTGTCAGAAGTGTTGTAAGTGTGGTAATAGTGTGAGAGTAGAGGAGAAACACAAGAGTGTTTTTCCTATACAACTAAAAATACAATAGTTTACATTTTTCAGATAAGAAGACATAAAACAAACATGATTATCTAGAATAGATGGACTGTTACTTACCATTTATTCAGTACGCACTGTGTGGTGGGTGCTGACAGCGATTAAGTAGGATGTATCACATATGCTGATCCGTCTCCAAACCAGGGGTTGTGAGTAGAGCGTCTGACATGAATCCTTATTCCTCTCTCCATGGCTTAAAGGAAAAAATTGAGGATATAGAATGGGTTTAAAGGGCAATCAAAATACCTATGATAAAGGAAAGGAAATTCAAGGTGGGACTGATGTTAAATGTTTAAAGGGTAATAACATGAATAATTTTCCTCTCCACTAAGAACATGATCTTTGATTATAGTAGAAAGGATTTAAGTTAGACACCATTTAATTATTTGTGTGCTCATTTAACAAATATTTATTGTGTGCTTACTATGCTGTTGCTGCTGCTATTAGTAAAACTTCCATTTATTTAGTGCTCTGTGCTTTGCACTTTATATACATTATCTCATTTAACTTTCCAAACAACCTAAGGGTTATCATCTTTCATTTCCAGATGAAGGAAAGCGTTAGAGAGGTTAAGTAACTTGCCCAAAGTCACATAGCTGAGGGGCAGTGGGTCCTAGATGGAAACCCATGTCCATCTGGTTTCAGAACTTTTGCCCTTAACCCATCAATATGTTGTCCACCCACGTGCATAACTGAGCTCCAGGCTAAAAGTGGCATAGAAAGGGATTCATTAGGGTCCTTGCCCTCCAGGAGTTTTTAAGTATAGTTGACACATTTACAGAGATAGCTCAGGATAGGGGCAGTGCCATATGACCATATGATAGGTGCGTTAGGATTTCAGAGTCCTGAGTGATTCTTTAAGAACGGGCTTAACACACAGGTTGAATAATCTGGCCTGAGACTTGAAAACAGTAAGAGTTTCTGTTGGTGGACTAGGTGAGAAGACAGTCCAGCCAGGCAAAGTTATAAGTAATGGCTCAGAGGAGAAACACTGCAGATGTATTCACAGGTAGAACAGGGAATTTATATAGGGAAGAAGTATTGGAAAAGAACATTAGATTCTCCTATTAAAGAGGCTAAATTTTATGCTCTGGGCAATGAGAATTCATTGAGCTTTCTGAGGAAGGGAATGACGTGATGAAGACTGTCCTCAGTGTTCCTGTAAACGCAATCTAGCAGAAGTGAAGCCTGGGATGGAGGGAGGGCAGTCTGCAACAGTCCAGACAGGAATAAAGAAGAGTCTCAGTTAAGAGGTAGCAGAGAGAAGAGAAAGGATGGAGATAGAGATATGAAAGGATAGAGGTAGAGATATGAAAGGATGTGAATCCAAGATGGCCTCTTATGAGTAATTGTTTTAATTCTTAAATTGGAGAACTAAGAAGAATGACCATTAACTTTCTTGGTGGGACTATCTGTCTTGGTCCCTTCAGGCTGCTATAAGAAAAATCCTATAGACTGGGTGGCTTATAAACAACATAAATTTATTTCTCACAGTTCTGGAAGCTGGGAAATCAAAGATCAAGGTGCTGGCAGATTCAGCGTCTGATGAGAGTCTGTTTCCTGGTTAATAGACAGCTGTCTTTTCACCAAGTTCTCACATGGCAGAGGGGGCAGAGGAGCTCTCTGGGGTCTCTTTTAGGGCACTAATAGGCCACTAATCCCATTCATGAGGGCTCTGTGCTCATGACCTAGTCATCTCCCCAAAACCCCACCTCCAAATACCGTCACGTTGTGGATTAGGTTTCAACATATGAATTTTGAGGGGACACAAACATTCAGTCTGTGGCAACATCCTCACTACTCAAAGTGTAATCTATAGCCCAACAATACTGGCATCACCTGCGAGTTCATTAGACTCAGAGAATCTCAGGCCCCATCCCGGACCTATTGAATCAAGTCTGCGTGTTAACAAGATCCCCAGGCAATTCATATGCAGTTTGGGAAGCACTGGTTTGTTTTCTTATAGAAACTACCTGTGGTCACAACAGTTACCATTAATTAAATTTAACATAGTATAGTATTTAACATAGTATAGTTAATATGTAGTACAGTTAATAATATATATAGTTATAACAGACTATATTGTATATACATATAACATTATATAATAATGTATAACGTGATATAGTTAATAATATAACATAGTATATTGTTATACACTGTTACTATATAAAGTTAATTCCATAATATGTTACTAAAATTAGTAATATAGTTTATAATTTTGTGTTACAAGAGGAATACAATTGGTGAGAAAAAAAAGAAAGAAGAGGACAAATAAACAATAATCCATTGTGGCCTGTCCAAAGGGTCAAGATGGTCAAGGAGCCGGTCATAGAGCGTGGCTGAGAATCTGAATAAGGAGCACTAGAATAAGGGGGTTCCTGAAGCGGACCACAGCTGACCTGAGGGCAGCATGCCCATGATGAACAACCAGGGCACCTGTGAAATTAAAAATCTTGTTGGTAAAACCAGCAATGAAACACCAACCAAGCAAACACCAGTGTCCAGAGTATAGTAAAACTTTGGCAACGAGCAGCTGGCGATTCTAACTGGGTCAGCAGCTGAATGACTAAGGAGATGATATAAAAGAGAAGCCCACAAAAACCAGGCTTTTAAGGAAACTGGAGTTGTATGAATGCAATTCTTCTGCTTTAATTTGGCGGTGGAATTTGGCTATCCTGGTATAACCTCTCCTGGGAATTTGTAAGGCCAAATCCTGTAAACTGTGAGAACTAAGAGGAATTGGTCTGGAGAATGTCAAAAGTTGCAATATAAGAAATCTTTGAATCTCTATACATGCCTATTGTTGACTTTCTTCTTGAGATTACATGTTAAAACATAGCATTTGTACTTTTTTAAACACCATAAAACCAGCAAATAAGAATAAAACTTTTCCCAGTTTAGAATTTCACAAGCATAGCATCCTTTAAAAAGAATACCCAACATGTGGTCTTAGGACCACCAAAAATTTCCTGTTTTCACAGAGGGAAAAAAAAAAAGTAAACTGCCTCCATGATGTCTTCCTGAGGCTATTAAATGAGATTACCTCTTAAATTATGGTATAATCTGAAACCCTTGAACTATGGTATAATTGGAACTTTTGCAGGTTACTTACATTTCTTTTCTTTTTAAGATATTAGCAACAGCTTTGCCTACATGTGATGTGTATTTCCAGCAACAAGGACAGGATTTCATAATTGACAAAGGAAATATAATACTGAAGAGAAAGCAAAGTGTGCATGCTGACAAGCCAAGTGAGGTAAACCATTTCTCCATGGCCATTGTCTGCCGTCCATAAACGAATAACCCAGGTAATGCACTTAGAACTGTGCCTGACCGTGTAAGTGCTCAGTCAGTGTAAGCTCTTATCCTCAGGAATAGAATGGAGGAAAGGAAGAAGCAAGCTCACAGTAATTAGAGCCTTTGGGGAAAACTTCAATAGCTTTATTTCTTTTCCAAACGAAAATTTCTGGAAAGCTGGATTCTGGAGAGTTGGAGAGTCACGTACTGTGAATTCATGGTTCCTTGTAACTTTAGTAAGGAAAGTACGGTGCTGAGGAATGGCACTCCCCCTAGTTGGAGAGAAAAGGACTGATATCTCTGAGGATGGTGCACGGCTTGTCTCTGGGGACGGCACATGGCAATGCCCTAGATTCCAAGGCGGATGTAGTTGGTCAGCGCTGGTGTGAGTGCCAGGACGATGCTGCCTCCTCGGGGCCCTGCCTCCAATGGCTTCAGAAGGCAGAGGAGACCTGAAGACCTTGTAGCCATCCAACTATTATTCACGTGAAGTCAGGGCCACTTTTGGTCTGTTTGTTCCTTCATTTGTCACACGGAGGTCTTGATTGAGCATTCCTGTGTGCGTATGCATGAATGGGCATGTTGGAAAAGCAAATGAAAGCAGACATCAGCTGTCTTGTTCACAAACCCAGCACCTGAAACAGTTCCTTACACATACAAGAGCTTGAGTGAATGAAATGGTTGAATAAATGACAACAGAAACGCTTTAGACACAGAGCCTGCCCTTAAGATTGTTGTTGGGGAAATAAGCCATGTATACAACAAATGCGTGGCAGGGTGGGGCAAGTATCGTAAAAGAGGTGCACATAACATGATATGGACTTCAGATTAGGGAGAACCACCTCCAGCCGAGAGAGTCAGAGAAGGCATGAGGGTGTTCTTCCTCCTTTCGGGTCTCTGCGCACCAGTCATGGTGGCTTCACTCTTTGTCCTACTTGTTTCTGTTCCCACGTCACATGCCCAGGAAGCCCTCTCTGACTCTCCAGGCTTCTCAACCCAAAGTCCACCTGAAAGAGAAGAGTGTGGAATGAGCCACTACTCCCCCGCCCCTTGCTCCCTGATCAGTGGCACAGATCAGTGAGCCTCAGATTTTACTGTGCATAAGTATTGCCCAGGGAGTGCATTTAGAATGCAGATTCCAGGGCCTTACCCTCGAGATGCTGAATCAGGGAATCTGAGACTGGTCAGGAAGTCTGCATAGTTGCCAAGCACCCCAAGTTGATTCTGATATGGGTGCTCCATGACAGTACTTGAAGAACACTGCTCTAAGCATCCATGACCTACTCTCCTGACTCTTGCCTGAAATGACCACCTCTGTATTATTGATTTGCAAACTTGTACTCATCCATTAAGACCGAATTTATCTTTCTCTGACATTTCCCTGACATCTGGATGTAATTAATTATTTCCATCTCTGGGGTCCCATAGATCAGAAATTTTCAAACTGCAGGTCATGCCTATTAGTAAGTAGGTCATGAAATCAATGGACTGGGTCAGCTTAGTGCAACAAAAGAA